CTGTAACTAAGTACTAAGATTGAATGTCACTTGGGGGTTGAATAAAACTGATAATGCTGTGAGCACAGAAAAGACATTTGTGGTTATTTCATTATAACTGTTATGTTATATTTGTCTGACCTACAAGTGCCTCTTTAATGTAAATGTAAGCAAGATGACTGAATGATCAAAAGCAATGTCAAACTGGCCAAAACACTCAATTTCAGTGGGGGTTGAATAATTTTGGTCACAACTGTACATGGGGCAGTAATTGAAGTAAAACACACGTTAACAAGGCCAAAAATAAGTCAGTGTATAGGTATTAAAACATTCCTGTAATCTGAGAATATGCTGCATGTTGTTTAAATATTTAATTCCAATAGCTACAGTATACCTTTTCTCATGTAAAAATGCAGTATTGTAATTTGCAAGCATTGTGTTCTAATTTCTATATTAAAACATTGTTTTGTTTATTTTATTTCAATATAGGATTTATTGCATGGATCAGCCACACATAATTTTAACCAATTTTGCAGTATCTTCATGAATGGGAATTCAGTAAACTTACCACATAGAATTTCACCTTAACCACTTCAAGTTCGGATACTTTCACCCCCTTCCTGTCCAGGCCAATTTTCAGCTTTCAGCGCTATCACACTTTGAATGACAATTGTGTGGTCATGCAACACTGTACCCATATGAATTTTTTTTTTGCATTTTTTGAGACAGATAAAACTTTATTTTTGTGGTATTTATTCACCATTGGGATTTTTATTTTTTTGCTATATACCGTATTTTCCGGCGTATAAGACGACTGGGCGTATAAGACGACCCCCTACTTTTCCTGTTAAAATATAGTGTTTGGGCTATACTCGCCGTATAAGACTACCCCTCTTCCAGTGCACACCAGTGGGAAGAATCGTGCCCCATCATTGGTGTCAGTGGGAGGAATAGTGCCCCATCATTGGTATTAGTGGGAGGAATAGTGCCCCATCATTGGTATTAGTGGGAGGAATAGTGCCCCACCATTGGTGTCAGTGGGAGGAATAGCACCCCATCATTGGTATTAGTGGGAGGAATAGTGCCCCATCATTGGTGTCAGTGGGAGGAATAGCGCCCCATCATTGGTGTCAGTGGGAGGAATCGTGCCCCATCATTGGTATCAGTGGCAGGAATAGTGCCCCATCATTAGTATCAGTGGGGGGAATAGTGCCCCATCATTGGTGTCGGGGGGGGAATAGTGCCCCATCATTGGTGTCAGTGGGGGGGAGGAAAAGTGCCCCATCGTTGGTGTCAGTGGGGGGGGAGGAATAGTATCCCATCATTGGTGTTAGTGGGGGGTGGAATAGTGCTCCATGATTGGTGTCAGTGGGGGGTGGAATAGTGCCCCATCATTGGTGTCAGTGGGGGGGGGAATAGTGCCCAATCATTGGTGTCAGTGGGGGGGGGGAGTGCCCCATCGTTGGTGTCAGTGGGGGGGGGAGGAAAAGTGCCCCATTGTTGGTGTCAGTGGGGGGGGGGGAAGTGCCCCATCGTTGGTGTCAGTAGGGGGGAGGAAAAGTGCCCCATCGTTGGTGTCAGTGGGAGGAATAATACCCCATCATTGGTATCAGTGACACCAATGATGGGGCACTATTCCTCCCACTGACAATTGCTGACCCCTGTTCCAGTATGGTGCTGCTGCAGCCAGCATATGTGGTTGCAGCAGCACCTAAGCACCGCACACTTACCTGCATCACCTTCACTCAATTTTCGTGGGGCCGCTCAGCTCCGCCTCCTCGCCGGTGATTGGCCGCCTGTGTGCCTTTCCTGAGCTACAGTTCTGGCGGCCAATCACCGGTGAGGAGGCGGAGCCGAGCAGCCGCGCGAACATCCAGTGGACGAACTGAATGAAGGAGCAGCCGCGCTTCCTGGACCGGATCGTCGTGGGACCGGAGCCAGGTAAGAGACAGCTGCCCCTGCCCACCCCTGTACTTAGTTTCCCTTCTGTTGGAAGGGGGGGGCGGCGGCGGCGGCACCGCGCCGCCCCCCTAAAATGTGTCAGCATGCCGTTACCGGCATATAAGACGACCCCCGACTTTTGAGAAGATTTTCAAGGAGTAAAAAGTCGTCTTATACGCCGGAAAATACGGTAAATGAAAAAGTCCAAACATTTTGAAAAAAAGTGTTTTTCTTATAAGATTTTGCAAATAAATAATCTTTCTTCATAAATCTTGGCCAAAATGTATTCAGCTATCTTTTTAGTAAAAAAAAAAAAATAACCCACATTAGTTTATAACCAAAAATTATATTTTTTCAAACTTTTTTTGACATTTTTATTTTATTTTTTTATATTATTATTTATGTTTTTTTTTAACATACTGTCACCCTAGCAGTACAGTGTCACTATAGTGAAACTGTACTATTTGGGGGTGATGAATATTTTTTTTTTCACACTGATTGCTTTTACACCCATAAAGGCTATAAAAGCAATAATTTCTTCTTCTCTCTGGCTGCATTCTTGCAGCCATTGATAAATACTGTGTGAGTTGTGATTGGTCACAGCTTGTCACATGGTACAAGGCTGTTGCGAATAGCCTTGTACCATGTGACCTCTGTGATCATTCACAGATTTCACTAGTAGTAAGCAATGATGTCAGGAAGTGACATCTTGCTTACTACTATTCATGTGATCACTGATTGGCCAATCAGTGATCACATGATCAGGACCTCACACAGATCCGGACACAGCGGGCGCCGTGCCGTGCGCTCCCAGGGAATTTTGTACATATGGTTTCTAAACAATTCATTACAGTGGGGATCGAAAATTTGGGCACCCCAGCTAAAAATTTGTATTAATGTGCATAAAGAAGCCAAGGAAAGATGGAAAAATCTCCAAAAGGCATCAAATTACAGATTAGACATTCTTATAATATGTCAACAAAAAGTTAGATTTTATTTCCATCATTTACACTTTCAAAATAACAGAAAACAAAAAAATGGTGTCTGCAAAAGTTTGGGCACCCTGCAGAATTTATAGCATGCACTGCCCCCTTTGCAAAGCTGAGACCTGCCAGTGTCATGGATTGTTCTCAATCATCGTCTGGGAAGACCAGGTTATGTCAATCTCAAAGGTTTTAAATGCCCAGACTCATCTGACCTTGCCCCAACAATCAGCACCATGGGTTCTTCTAAGCAGTTGTCTAGAAAACTGAAACTGAAAATAGTTGACGCTCACAAAGCTGGAGAAGGCTATAAGAAGATAGCAAAGCGTTTTCAGATGTCAATATCCTCTGTTCGAAATGTAATTAAGAAATGACAGTCATCAGACACAGTGGAAGTTAAAGCAAGATCTGGAAGACCAAGAAAAATATCAGACAGAACAGCTCGCAGGATTGTGAGAAAAACAATTCAAAACCCACGTTTGACTGCACGATCCCTCCAGAAAGATCTGGCAGACACTGGAGTTGTGGTACACTATTCCACTATAAAGAGATACTTGTACAAATATGGTCTTCATGGAAGAGTCATCAGAAGAAAACCTCTTCTACGTCCTCACCACAAAAATTATCGTTTGAACTTTGCAAATGAACATATAGACAAGCCTGATGCATTTTGGAAACAAGTTCTGTGGACCGATGAGGTTAAAATTGAACTTTTTGGCCGGAATGAGCAAAGGTACGATTGGAGAAGAAGGGGCACAGAATTTAATGAAAAGAACCTCTCTCCAACTGTTAAGCATGGGGTTGGATCAATCATGCACAGGGAACATCTCACGAGTAGAAGGAAAAATGGATTCAATAAAATTTCAGCAAATGTTCGATGGTAACTTGATGCCATCTGTGAAAAAGCTGCAGTTAAAGAGAGGATGGCTTCTACAAATGGATAATGATCCTAAACACACCTCGAAATCCATGGGGGATTACATCAAGAGGCGTAAACTGAAGGTTTTGCCATGGCCTTCACAATCTCCTGACCTCAACATAATTGAAAATCTATGGATAGACCTTAAAAGAGCAGTGCGTGACAGACAGCCCAGAAATCTCAAAGAACTGGAAGACTTTTGTAAGGAAGAATGGGTTAAAGATACCTCAAACAAGAATTGAAAGACTCTTGGCTGGCTACAAAAAGCGTTTACAAGCTGTGATAGTTGCCAAAGGGGGCAGTACAAGATATTAACTCTGTAGGGTGCCCAAACTTTTGCAGACGCCACTTTTTTGTTTTCTGTTATTTTGAAAGTGTAAATGATGGAAATAAAATCTAACTTTTGTTGACATATTATAAGAATGTCTAATCTGTAATTTGATGCCTTTTGGAGATTTTTCCATCTTTCCTTGGCTTCTTTATGCACATTAATACAAATTTTTAGCTGGGGTGCCCAAACTTTCGATCCCCACTGTATGTTTCAAATAGATATATTGGACTTAGTGTTATCTGTTTTAAATGTAATTAATCATTGCTAAAATTATATGACTAATTTTACCCAATCAGACCTACATCTCTAGGTCTTTTTATTGAACAGCAATGGATCCCCTCAGTACCACCTTAACACCCATATATGAGAACACACAGTGTTCCTAGGGTTGCCACCTCATCCCTTTAACCACTAGCCTACAGGACACTTATACCCCCTTCCTGCTTAGGCAAATTTCTAGCTTTCAGCGCTGTTGCACTTTGAATGACAATTGCACGGTCATGCAACACTGTACCCATATGAAATTTTTATAATTTTTTTGTGACAGATAGAGCTTTATTTTGGTGGTATTTAATCACCTCTGGGTTTTTTTATTTTTTTCTTACACAAACCAAAAACCACTGAAAATTTTGAAAAAAAAAAGTTTTTTTTAAGTTTTTGTTATAAAGTTTGTAAATAAGTGATTTTTCTCCTTCACTGATGTGTGCTAATGAGGCTGCAGTGATGGGCACTGATAGGCTGCACTGATGGACACTGATAGGTGGCACTGATGGGCACTGATGAGGAGACACTGGTAGGTGGCACTGACGGGCATTGACAGGCCTCACTGATGGGCACTGAAAGGCAGCACTCATATATGGCACTGATAGGTGGCACTGACTGGCACTGTTAGGTGGCACTGACTGGCACTGTTAGGCGGCACTGATAGGCAGCTCTGATGCATACTGATAGGCGGCACTGGCTGGCACTGATAGGCAGCACTGACTGGAACTGATAGGTGGCACTGATTGGCAGCACTGATAGGTGGCACTGACTGGCACTGATGGGTGACACTGAAAGGCAGCTCAGATGGGCACTGATATGTGGCATTGATGTGGCACTGATGGGCACTGAAATGTGGCACTGATGGGCACTGACAAGTGGCATGGATGAGCACTGAGAGCTCTCACTAATGGACACTGACAGGTGGCACTGCTGGGGCTACAGAGATCATCAGGGCACACTGATCATCAGTGCTCTGATGATCAGTGTACATGTCCCCTCTGAGGGATGCCGATTACCGGCTCTCCTCACAAGCTGTCAGCGTGACAGCTCGTGAGGAGAGAAATGCCGATAACCGGCATTTCCCTGTTTACATGTGATCTGCTGTGACTAGACACAGCTGATCACATGACTGAGCCGACATCTTCGACTCTTTCCGTGGATCGGTGATCCGCTGTGTCCGAGGGACACAGCACACTGACGATCACCGTGCTGCATGCTTCGGGAGCCACGCAAGCGCGGTTAGAATGGGAGGACATCATATGACGTCCTCCCAGAACGAGAGAAACCACCTTGCGTCCGTCATATTACTATATGGCGAGTGGGAGGCGGTTAAAACTGAACACATATTATTTACACAGGTTCTGTGACTGATTAACCGCTTCCTGACCGCCCTATAGCAGAAATACTTCTACAGGGCAGCACGGGTGTGCAAAATCACGTGTATATATACAGGATTTTGCATTTCCAGGTAGGGGCATGCGCACACCCTACCTGTGCTGCCATTCGCAGCCGCGGCTGTTGGTGATTGATCACTGGGTCCCGGCCAGTGATTACTCGCTGGTGCCCAGTGATTTCCGTGGATCTCTGACGAGGAGGAGAACTGTTTTGTTTACTAACAGTTCTCTCCTGTGTCAGCTCATGCACACTGCTTTGGATGGCTGTGCACAGCACAACCATCCAAAGCAGTGTGATTACAGGGAAGCATACTGACACCGCCCCCTAGTAAAACACTCCCAGAACACAATTAACCCTTTTATCACTCCTCATGTTAAGTCCTTCCTGCCCAGTGCCATTAGTACAGTGTCAGTCCTTTTTTTCAGCACTGATCACTGTATTGGTATCACTGGGGATGTTAGTGACACCGAGTCAGCTCCCCCCAGTGTCAAAATATCCTGCAGTTCCACAGTCCTGCTATAAGAAGCTGATCGCCGCCATTACTAGTAAAAATAAAAAGGAAAAGAAAAAAATCCCAGTATATATACCGCCATTTGTAAACACTATAACTTTCACGGAAACCAATTAATTTAAACGTATTGGGAATTTTTTTAGCACAGACATGTAGCAGAATACATTTTAGCATAAATTTCTCATGAAATTTGATTTTTTTAATTTTTTACTGGATATGTTTAATAGCAAAAAGTCAAAAATATTGTTTTTTCTCAAAATTGACGGTCTTTTTTTATTTATAGTGCAAAAAATAAAAACACACAGGCAATCAAATGACACTGAAAGAAAGATCAATTTGTGGGGAAAAGGACGTAATTTTCATTTTGTTGCAGCGTTGCATAACCGCACAATTGTCAGTTAAAGTAACACAGCGCCGTAATTCAAAAAATGGCCTGGTCAGGAAGGGGGTAAATCCTCAGGAGGGCAACGTGGTAATCAAACTCACTTGATGCCTTATCTGCATCAAATTTGCCTCAGAACATGTATAATTAATATGTGTTCAGTTTTATAGGGATGAGTTGGCAACCCTAAGTGTTGCCCAGTCAGAACTCAGAAGCTCAAAAGCAGTCATCATTTTTACAAGACTTCCTAGTACACTTGGGTATGACTTACTGGGGTTGAACTAAATGTAGAGATTGCAAAATCTGGTGCACCTCTGCATAGAAACCAATCAGCTTCCTTTTTTTTTTGTTAAACCTTAATTGTCAAGCTGAAGTGAGAAGCTGATTAGCTGCCACAGCTGCACCAGATCTCCAAATCTCCACTTTTGATAAATCAACCCCATTACATAACCATATGAGGCAGAGTGTAAGTTGAATCTTCAGAGGACTTGACCACATTGAATAACAGATGCTGGTTTGCTTGTGCATTCTGATTGAGGTTAGGGACATGGTGTGAAACCGAAGAAATATTACAGCTATAATGGAGCTCATGCAGAGGCACGGACGGTGCACCTTTCAAACAGCCATCACTGAAGCGAGTGCATATAGACAGGAATTGGCTGCAAATAGACTGTATTACATAAGCTAAATCTGCAACAAAAGATGCAAAAAAGTGAAAACAAGTGCTTTATAGTAAAAAATAATGAGAGTGTATTCCGCACAGTGCTGTAGCAAATTCAATATCATTCAGTTAGTGTTTACTTATTTAATGCTAAACTCCAGGCAAAGTAAAAAAAAAAGTTTAAAAAATTTAAGAAAAAAATCATGCAGTTGTGCATTAAAAATCATTAAATGCATTTCAAATGTAACTAGTATAAACTTCAGGATTTTAACTGTTTTTCACAGCAGCCTTAAGACAAGGGTAGGACGGCAGTGCCATCTTAATAGCATCATAGTACCCTGGGTAACGTAATGCATTATGGCCCCTATCAGGGAGATGGTGACCTGCAGTGCGTATAGCATACCATAGAAAAACAGTGGGTGTGGCTAAATGATGGGCGTTGCTTTTAAAGTGGCGTTCCAGTTGATTTTAAAAAAAATAACAGTCATTAGCTACAAAAACTGTAGCTGCTGACTTTTAAAATACAGACAGTTACCTGTCCCACAATCCAGCAGTGTCCTCACCATGGCTGGTTTCACCGGCCGTCTTCTCTCCCTGGTGCCGACATCTTCAGTGTAGGCACTCGGTTGTGACAGCTTGTGGCTTCACATCCGGGTGCCCACTGTGCATGCACGAGTAGCTCTGCGCTTTGTGAATGGTCCTGTACTCTTCTGGGTCACGTGTCCCAGAAGACTATGGGGAGAGAGGGAGGAGGATAACTTCCACTTCCGATCGCTTTAGGCAAATTTGGGTACCCTCTTCCCTTCCACTCCCCAAAGGTGCCAATCCTTAACAGGGAGCGGGGGAGAAAGGATTAAAGCAGAACTTCCACTTTTGGGTGAAGCTCCACTTTATGTATGATTAGAAATTTTAGTCTGATTTTTACATTTTGCAATATTTTTAATTTTTAAAGATTATATTTTAACTTTTTTTTCACAATGCTGTTGGCGGATCTTTGGTGAAGTATCAGGCCTGAAGTCTTACTTTTGAGACAGAGAAAGGGACTGAGGAAACACATTCCCCAGTTCCTTTCTGCTGCCTCAGTTACACTGCAGATGAATGAACAGGAGACGGAGGCTCCTGTTCATTCATAAACTGAAGCATAGTAAAGAGTTTAAATTCATTTAGAAAAAGGACTCATTGCAGCAGCTGAAAGGGAGCAGGTGATGCCGGCCTTCAGCTGCTGCAATGAGAGCCACACAGAAGATTGGTCCCAGTTATTTTTCCAACTGGCACAATAATAACCCTCTCTGTCCACATGATATTACCCTGCTGGGAGGGGGAAGGAAAATTCATGCCCCCCCCCCCATGCATCTGCATTAAAACAGCCCTGAGGAAAGTGATAGTACATGTAGCCAATCCAGTGTCCTGCATTCATATGTACTTGCAAGGAACATCCTGACAGAAGAGCAGAGAGATGACCTCATTAATCTACTGCTGTTCCTTCACTCTGTAATCACAAATTGGATGCAGAGAGGTTACACTTAACTGCTGAAGAGTTAAGACCCCAGCCTGACTGTGCTATGTGGCAACGTTTTCTGAATCTCAGGACTGATTGAATAGAAATATATATATATTCTTTGGCAGGCAAGACAGCTATCATATACAGTGAGGAACAGAAGTGTTTGAACACCCTGCAATTTTGCAAGTTCTCCCACTTAGAAATCATGGAGGGGTCTGAAATTCACATTGTAGGTGCATTCCCACTCTGAGAGACAGAATTTAAAAAAAACAATTCAGAAAATCACATTGTATGATTTTTAAAGAAATACTTTTGTTCCTCACTGTATGTATCTCATCAGTGTATTTCTAGTAGCTGTTGGTCTTAAAGGTTATTTTCACCTTTGGAAACATGTTACATGTGCCACCTATTTTTTAGGGTGGAACATGTAACATGTTCCTATAGCTGCAGCCACGCCCCCCCCCCCTTTGACAGATGCTACGGGGAATCTCCCCGTACTATCTGTCAAATTTGAAAACAGTGTGGCCATGTGGGGCTCCGCCCAGGTGGCCACTTCATTCACAGACGTCCGTGAATTAATGAACTGCAAGTCCCGGCAGCCTTAGTGGCTGTAGGCTTGTAGTTTTCAATGAACTACCACAGCGCTGCGGAACCGTGCCGTGATAGTTCATTGAAGCTTCCTGTCAAAATATCTGCTTGACTGTAATCCCGTACAGCAAGCAGATATTCTGACAGGTCTGCAGGAGACCTGCATGGCATCAGTGATCTGTTGCAATGCTTTCCAGGCTCCTGTGGACAAAAATAATAGATGCACATTTTTATACCTGCAAAAAAATGTGCATTTTATTATTTTTGTGTAATATGTGAAATTATCCTTCAAATTTAGCTTTTAGGTTGTAGTATGTTTTGTTTTTAACACCACAAAAAATAATCATCTTTTTTAATTATTTATTTATTTATTGAGAAGGTCAAAGGGTTGGCTAGAAGCCACCCTGTCAACCTAACACATTCTGAAATGGTCCTATGTTAAAAAAAAATGTGCATTTATATTTTTAATTAAATAATTCAGGGTATATGTTTTGATGTGATTAAAAGCATAGAATTTTCACACTTTTTATACGACATGTAAATCTCATAAAACAGGCAATGACTTCCTTTTCATAAATCAGAAAGTTTGTTTATGACAAATTCTTGCAGCTGCATGAGATGGCAACATGGCAGCTTAGCGGGTTATTAATGGGACTGACAGGCCACAAATCATTTGCACGAATAGTAATTTGTGCTATGTTAAAAATCAGGAAAAGCTTGAAAATCTAGGGAATTAGAGTAGGAAAACAGACAGTTAGGCCAAAGGAATAAATTCCAACTGTGTGCTTGTCAGAAACACTAGATAATTGTTAGTCACCAAAAATAAGCAATTAATTGATTTTGTTTTAAATAATTAAAAGCAGTAAAAACTATTGCATTTCCTATTTAATACAGACTGCTAGCTCATACGGAAGTTTTGTCAGACAATTTTGTTTTACTTATGCCACATCACGTGTGTTATTAATGCATCTGCTATCTCACCATATGACACTGTATCTAAAATTGGACAGGTTTACCACAAGACTCTATTGATTTAGTAGTTGTGTGGCTACCACTCAATACAGCAGTGGTTCAGAATAATTACCA